GCTGCCGCCGCTGCAGCTGCCGCTGCAGCACGTGTCATCCGTCGCAGGACAGAGCTGCCCTCCCCGGGCACAGTGGCCAGCTTCTCCACTTTGTCTTTGCTGCGCAGGTGCCAGGAGCCCAGCTGGCTGCTCCGCGTCTTTCTGCGAGACAACCTGCTGGAGGCAGCAGAGCAGAAGCTGAGATGACCCAGCAGGGCAAGGGGGCGTCACAAGAACAGAGCACAGGGAACCAGTCTCCCCTCAGAACCCCAGATCAGATGCAGTATGAAGTGGAGGGCTAGGAGGTGGAAGACCCGGTTCCAGTCTGGGCTCTGCCACCTCCAGCCATGAGAACTCAGGCAGCTCCCCTCTGACCCTCAGTCTTCCTACTTGTAAACTGGGGATAAGGCCAGACCGCACAGAACTGCTGGGAAGACTAAGCTCATACAAACCTCCCACTTACTGAGGTCGCACCTTGCCAAGCACCCTGCGGGAGATTTTATCCATGCTGCTGCTTAATCCGTAAGACAGCCCTAGAAGCCAGAGACCATTATCTTCACCTTAGAGATGAGGAAACTGAGGCTCTGCAGAGGTGGAAAATTAGCCTATGGACATACAGCGGCTAAGGGGCAGAGCTGAGATGTGCACCCTGGACTGCCTGACCCCAAGACCCAGCCTCTTTCCCCTTGTACTCACAGACCACAGTCATCCACAATCATTCCCGTGACTTTATAACAAGCATAGCAATGGGAGGTGGGAACAGCCCCTCAGCCCACACCTCTGGTCACCCTCACCAAGCAGAAGGTCAGCTTCTCTTTCTTCTCTCACCTCTGGAAATCCTTTCTATCCTCTAAGGCCCAGATCAAACCCAGCCCCCACAAGCTCTGGACTCCACAGTCATGAGTCATGAGTCATTTCCCATGACATTCTGGCTCTTGGCATGGCCCACGTGGTACCCCCCCACCCCTCATGCAGGCCTCTGCTCCCAATTAACACTTGCAAATCAAACTCTCCTAGTGAGCGCCTAGTCTCCATAGACCCCATGGGCCCAGCTGACACTCGCCCTGTTACTGGGAGCCTCCACCCACTTCTACCTTTTCCGGATGGGGTCTCTGTTTTCATCCTGAACATAAGAAACCCGTCTCTTCTTCCGTCGGTTCTTCTGAGAAGGTGTTTTGGGCATCAGCTCAGGCTCTTTGCTGAATTCTCTGTTTGGTACAAGAAGAGTGATGTTCACAGCTCCTCCACCTGGCTTAGTACCTGCCCCCTTCCTGGCAGTGACAGGCCAGGCTGAGATGCCCAGCACTTAACGCTATCTCCAACAGTATGTGCAAAACCCCTGCCAGGCACTCGGGGCTTCTTCCCAGAGACCTGACAGGGAGCAAGGTTGTCAGGGAAGCGTCTGCAGCCCCATCCTTTGAAGCCCAGCCCAACACCCCCTCTTCCTTTTTCCATTATACTAGATGGGCCCCGAGAACACTGGGCACTCAGGACCCTGGTGCCTCACCCCTGCCCTCACCTGGTGAACATGCGCTCAGCTTCCTCCTCGATCTCTTGGAGCCACACCAAGTCCTTATTGTCCACATTATGGACAAATTCCATGAGCTTTTGGTTGCACAGCTCCAGCAGGTGAATAGGCCCCAGCGCTGTGGTCCCCATGGTGACTCTGTCTGGCAAAAGCAGAGACAAGAGGTACAAGAGCTCGGGGATCGGAGCCAGAACCTTCTCTAGGGGGAAGAAGCTGTGAGGCAATAGCATCCATCCCTAGACGCCACAAAACACCCAGGGCCTGAATCAGGGTCCCTCCCTGCTCACAGCCGCTTCCCAGAGTTTCAGAATTCCAAATGCCAATCCACCAGTCTCACATTTTTGCAAAAAAGGCTGCCCCTCTACTCACACTCTTCAAACGCCTTACCCCCAACCCACCCACCTACCCACAGTAAGCTGTCTCCATAAGTTCACACTTCTAACCAATTCTGTTATCAGCATTCCTCCTTACAAATGGCCTTTTCTGGGGCTTAAACTGACAGGGCTTGTCTCACTGGATCAGGAAGGAACTGGGGCCACCACGGGACCCCTCTCTGCCTGCCCAAGCACAGGCCTGTGGGCTCTCCTCTTAATACCTGTGGGTAAGCAAGGGCTACACAAAGTTACTCTGAGCTACACACAAGCTGACCCCAGGCCTCAGGCCAAACAATATTGAATCCAACTGCCTAAAGAGGCCAATGAAGAGAAGGGTTCTGAGTTCCAAAGGAGCTGGTAAGAAAGTAGGGGTCGAGATATGCTCCTCTCCAAGGGGCCCCTACAATCCTCTCCCCTGAGCTGAAATGCCCTAGAAATGGATGAAGGAGCATAAGGGGAGAGGATAAGCAATTTCTTGTTTTAAGAATACTGGTCTACTCTTGAATGTAAACATGGGCAACTTTTTCCTGAACGTATCTCCTCATGCAAGGGAAACAAACAAAAAAAATGAACAAATGGGACTACATCATGCTAAAAAGCTTCTGTACACAAAGGACACCATCAGCAGAACAAAAAGACATCCTATAGTATGGGAGAATATATTTGTAAATGACATATCCAACAAGGGGTTAACATCCAAAATATATAAAGAACTCACACACCTCAACACCCAAAAAGCAAATAACCCCTATTAAAAAATGGGCAGAGGATATGAAC